TGTTTGCAGAAATGTGGTGAGGGATATTGTTTTGCCTCTTCAAGTATAGTTTAACGTAAGCAGTACAGTGCAGTATCTCAAGTCGGTGTAGGAGCTATCGTCTTGGACTGATCTATCACCGTCTGTGTGTGTGTGTGTGTGTGTGCGTGTGTGTACCTGCGCAGCTCTCGCCTCGATTCAGGTGTCAATGTCTTCCTCAGACAACATAAAACCCCTTGATACCATGTCATTGTACTCGGTGGATGATGATATCGTACTGTGGGGTTAAGTCATCGTACTCTAGGGGTTAAGTCATTGTAATGTAGGGGTTAAGTCATCGTACTCTAGAGTTAAGCATACTGTAGGGGTTAAGTCATCGTACCTGGGGTTGTCATTGTATGTGAGGTTAAGTCATCGTACTGTAGGGGTTAAGTCATTGTACTGTAGGGGTTAAGTCATTGTACTGTAGGGGTTTCATCGTACAATGTAGGGGTTAAGTCATCGTACTGGGGGTTGAATCTTGTACTGTAGGGGTTAAGTCCATTATACTAGGGGTTAAGTCATTGTAATGTAGGGGTTAAGTCATCAGCCTCTAGGGTTAGATCGTCATTAACAGCAAGGTTAAGTCATTGTAACTGAGGGGTTGGTCATCGTACTCTGGGGTTAGTCATCGTACTCTAGGGTTAAGTCATCGTACTCTAGGGGTTAAGTCATTGTAATGTAGGGTTAAGTCATCGTACTCTAGGTTGGTCATCGCACTCTGGGGTTGTCATCGTACTCTAGGGTTAAGTCATTGTAATGTAGGGTTAAGTCATCGTACTCTAGGGTTAAGTCATGCTCTAGGGGTTAAGTCATCGTACTCTAAGGGTTAAGTCATCGTACTCTGATTTAAGTCATACTCTAGGGTTAAAGTCATCGTACTCTAGGGTTAAGTCATTGTAATGTAAAGGTTAAGTCGTACTCTAAGGGTTTAAGTCATCGTACTCTAGGGGTTAAGTCATCTATCCTCTAGGGGTTAAGTCATCGTACTCTAGCAGTTAAGTCATCGTACTCTGGGTAAGTCATCGTACTCTAGGGGTTAAGTCATCGTACTCTAGGGGTTGAAGTCATCGTACTCTGGGGTTAAGTCATCGTACTCTAGGGGTTAAGTCATCGCACTCTAGGAGTTAAGTCATTGTAATGTAAGGATTAAGTCATCATCTCTAGGGTTAAGTCATCGTACTGGTTAAGTCATCGTACTCTGGGGTTGAGTCATCGTACTCTAGGGGTTAAGTCATCGTACTCTAGAGTTGATCATTGTAATGTGAGGTTAAGTCATCGTGCTCTGGGGTTAAGTCATCGTACTCTGGGGTTAAGTCATCGTACTCTGGAGTTAAGTCATTGTAATGTGGGGTTAAGTCATCGTACTCTGGGGTTAGTCATCGTACTCTGGGGAGTTAAGTCATCGTACTCTAGGGGTTAAGTCATCGTACTCTAAGGTTAAGTCATCGTACTCTAGGGGTTAAGTCATCGTACTCTGGGGTTAAGTCATCGTACTCTAGGGGTTAAGTCATTGTAATATGAGTTAAGTCATCTCGTACTCTAGGGGTTAAAGATCATCGTACTCTAGGGTTGATCATCGTACTCTAGGGGTTGAAATCGTACTCTAGGAGTTAAGCTCATCGTACTCTAGGGGTTAAGTCTATCATGTACTCTAGGGGTTAAGCTCATCGTACTCTGGGGTTAAGTCATCATGCTCTAGGGTTAAATCCATCGTACTCTAGGGTTAAGTCATCGTACTCTAGGAGTTAAGTCATTGTAATGTAAGGGTTAAGTCATCGTACTCTAGGGGTTGATCATCGTACTCTAGGGTTAAAGTCATCGTACTCTAGGTTAAGTCATCATCTCTAGGGTTAAGTCATCGTACTCTAGGGGTTAAGTCATCGTACTCTAGGGGTTAAGTCATCGTACTCTAAGGGTTAAATCATCGTACTCTAGAGGTTAAATCATCGATACTCTTGGGGTTAAAGTCATCGTACTCTGGGGTTAAATCATCGTACTCTGGGAGTTAAGTCAATTGTAATGTAGGGTTAAATCATCGTACTCTGGGGTTAAGTCATCGTACTCTGGGGTTAAGAATCATCGTACTCTAGGGGTTAAATCATCATTACTCTGGGGAGTTAGGTCATCGTACTCTAGGGGTTAAGAATCATCGTGCTCTGGGGGTTAAGTCATCGTACTCCTAGGGGTTAAGTCATCGTACTCTAGGGGATAAGTCATTACTCTGAGGTTAAGTCATCTACGTACTCTAGGGGTTAAGTCATCGTACTCTGAGGGAGTTAAGTCATCGTGCTCTAGGGGTTAAGTCATCATGCTCTAGGGGGTTAGTCATCGTACTCTGAGTTAAGTCATCGTATCAGGGGTTAAGTCATCGTACTCTGGGGTTAAGTCATCGTACTCTGGGGGTTAAGTCATCGTACTCTGGGGTTAAGTCATCGTACTCTGGGGTTAAGTCATCGTATCTAGGGGTTAAGTCATCGTACTCAGGGTTAAGTCATCGTACTCTAGGGGTTAAGTCATCGTACTCTGGGGTTAGAATCATCGTAATCTAGAGTTAAATCATCGCCTCCTAGGTTAAGTCATCGTACTCTAGAGGGTTAAGTCATCGTACTCTAGGGTTAAGTCATCGTACTCTAGGGTTAAGTCATCGTACTCTAGGGGTTAAGTCATCGTACTCTGGGGGTTGATCATCGTACTCTAGGGGTTAAGTCATCGTACTCTAGGGTTAAGTCATCGTACTCTAGGGGTTAAGTCATTGTAATGTAGGGGTTAAGTCATCGTACTCTAGGGGTTAAGTCATCGTACTCTAGGGGTTAAGTCATTGTAATGTAGGGGTTAAGTCATTGTAATGTAGGGGTTAAGTCATCGTACTGTAGGGGTTAAGTCATTGTACTGTAGGGGTTAAGTCATTGTAATGTAGGGGTTAAGTCATCGTACTGTAGGGGTTAAGTCATCGTACTGTAGGGGTTAAGTCATTGTAATGTAGGGGTTAAGTCATTGTACTCTAGGGGTTAAGTCATCGTACTCTAGGGGTTAAGTCATCGTACTCTAGGGGTTAAGTCATCGTACTCTAGGGGTTAAGTCATCGTACTCTAGGGGTTAAGTCACCGTACTCTAGGGGTTAAGTCATCGTACTCTAGGGGTTAAGTCATCGTACTCTAGGGGTTAAGTCATCGTACTCTAGGGGTTAAGTCATCGTACTCTAGGGGTTAATGACAAGATTCTTTTCTCTTACCTGATACACAGACGATTCTAATTAACGTAATATATTGGGGTTGTCTTCATCTAAGCTTTATTTTGGTTGACTCAAAGAGTACTGGTTGAGTCAGCGTGTCTTGGTTGAAGATGGATTTTTTTTGTTGAGTCAGAATGAGTATTGGCCGAGTCAGTGTGCAGTGTTGGCCGAGTCAGTGTGCAGTGTTGGCCGAGTCAGTGTGCAGTGTTGGCCGAGTCAGTGTGCAGTGTTGGCCGAGTCAGTGTGCAGTGTTGGCAGAGTCAGTATGATGCATGTCCGAGTCATGTGTGTTGCATAAATCACTCGCCTCGCCACATCACCAGAAGGGCGTAAACAATGCCGAAAACCTCTCTCTCTCTCTCTCTCTCGCTAGCAGTCGCCGCAGGTTACCCTCAAGACCGACTCGCCAAGGTGATTAAACTTACCGCTACCTTAACCTTCCGGCGAGTGTCGTCTCCCTCACTCCCTCCCTGCGCCATCTTGCGACTCCTGTGCTAATTACGAAGTTGTTGTTATTGAAGGGGATGATCGTTCGTTTGACGTTATCACCACTAGCAAGAGCAGCTAACGAAGTGTGGGATCGTCATGTGGGTGTAATGGTGGTGGTGGTCTTGCTTCACACACACACACACACAGATTAATGTGTAAACATTAATCTGTATGTTCACTGTATGTTCCTTCACCTTTCTCTAATGAAGGCTTTTGTTAAAACCACCAATGTATGTAATAAGTCATTTATGTCCAATGTATATTTTCAGCCTTTGGGCTGCAAACTTTTTCAATAAACCGTTGTTTATTATTATTATTATTATTATTATTATTATTATTATTACACACATCCTTGACCACCGGAGGGTCAAGACGGACCTGGCGCTCCTCTGGGAGCAGCCATGTCAACTGTTAAGTTGGCCCATGCCAACTCCCTTCCCTGAACCCTCCTCCCCGCCGGAATATCATCAAGTTCTCGCCAGAAGTTATAATTTCATTTAGGAAAGGAACCAGTGTTGAACAGAGGTGAACAGTGCTTAAGTCAGTGAGAAAAACTCAACAGTAACAGCAGAGTCGTACCCAAGTTTAACTTCACACAGTGAGGTCCCAGGTACCCAGTGATAACGGCCCGTGAGACCCAACAACAACCAGCGATGTGTTAATCCGTCTACGATAGGAAGGCCTAAGACCAAACCTCACTCATATAACACCATCTGTGAGGGAATTACTACACCAAGTGCGGCCCCTCATAACACCATCTGTGAAGGAAATACTACACCACGTGCGGTCCCTCATAACACCATCTGTGAGGGAAATACTACACCACGTGCGGTCTCTCATAACACCATCTGTGAAGGAATTACTACACTACGTGAGGTCCCTCATAACACCATCTGTGAGGGAATTACTATACCACGTGAGGTTCCTCCTAACACCATCTGGGAGGTAGTTACTACACTCCGTGTTTGCTGTTCAACACCTACATTAATCTGTATGTTCACTGTATGTTCCTTTACCTTTCTCTAATGAAGGCTTTTGTTAAACCACCAATGTATATAATAAGTCATTTATGTCCAATGTATATTTTCAGCCTTCGGACTGCAGAACCTTTTCAATAAACCGTTAATTATTATTATTACTATCATTACACACGTATATAGCCCCTTCAAACCCATCAATGTTTTAGGTTTAGCCCCATCCTCAACACACATCAGCCCTCACGAATACCCAAGCTAACACTCGTTGAATGTCTGCAAGCATGAGACCTAATAACAGGGAAATAACAACCACGTCGACCCCATCACCAACCACGGCAACCCCATCACCAACCACACAGACCTCATCTTCAACCACGTCGACCCCATCACCAACCACGTCGACTTCATCGTCAACCACGTCGACCCCATCACCAACCACGGCAACCCCATCACCAACCACGTCGACTTCATCGTCAACCACGTCGACCTATCTCCAACCACGTCGACCTCTCTCCAACCACGTCGACTTCATCGTCAACCTCTCACACACAAACAACGACAACCACCACAAGAACTGCCCTGACATCCCCAAACGACATGTGGACGACGTCTTCCCAAACAATCTCAGGTGTAATTACGACGGCAATGACAGCTACGATCGTTACAATTTCCGACATTAATCCTCCCTTCCCACTCCCCTCCCAGACGAATTATGGTGGACGACATATGAGACAACGTGTTTTTGAGTGGGAGGGGTGAAGGGGGTTGGGGTGAGGGTGGGGTTGGTGAGGGTGGGTGAGGGTGGAGTGGGGGTGGGTGAGGGTGGGGTAGGGGTGGGTGAGGGTGGGGTGGGGTGGGAGGGTGGGTGGGGTGGGTGGGGTGGGTGTAGAGTGGGAGGTAGGTGTTACAGGCCCTCGTCAACAGGTTCAACAGTTTTAATGACAGGTGTGATGATAGTGTAAACAACAGCGTAAAAATCTAGACCTCTGTAGGCTATATATCCCTCCTCCTCCTCCTCCTCTTGTTTCCCTTTTCTCTCCTCCTCCTGTTTCCCTTTTCCCTCCTCCTCCTCTTGTTTCCCTTTTCTCTCCTCCTCCTGTTTCCCTTTTCCCTCCTCCTTCTCTTACGAATCCTGTTTCTCCTCCTCCTCTTCCGCGTGGACAGGGGGATGGTGAGAGGTGGACAGGGGGACGGGCAGGTACTCCACGCATCACAGGTGGTACAGATGGGAGTGACGACCCCCTCCTCCACCAGCTGACGGAGCGTAAGACACATTCCCAAGTGCCGGACCCCTGGAAGCGTCACCCCAGTAGGTTACGTTACCCCAGTGTCCCCCTCCCCGCCCCTCCCCCGGATCGAATCAACCCCCTCTCACCACTCAGGGGTCTCCCCACTCAGGGGGGGGGGGGACATCATAGTATACACCCTCCCCATCACACTGCCTATCCAGCCAGTTCTCCCGATCACTAGATTACAAGATGTAACCGCTAGACTAAGGTTAGGATATAAGTACCTCTGGCAGTATATCCCTCAAGCAGATGTGAACAAGCAACATAAGCAAACCCTGACCTCAATGCACCTCCCCCTTCACCATCATCCTCCCCCACCCAGCTACCACCTTAGCCGCAGCATATCCCCGCCTCCACCATCACCACCCCAGCACAGCCTATCACAAGACGACGACGGCCATAATGGCGTATCTGATGATGTAGGGGAGGGGGGGCAGGGTGGGGAGGGGAAGAGTGGTGGGGGAGGGAAAGAATGGGGTGGGGAGGGAAGAGTGGGGTGGGGAGGAAGGTGGGGTGTGGGGGAGGAGGGAGAAAGAGGTGGGGTGGGGGAGGGAAGAGTGAGGTGGGGAGGGGAGAGGTGGGGTGGGGAGGGAAGAAAGTGGGAGTGGGGGAGGGAAGGAGGTGGAATTGGGGAGGGAAGAGTGGGGAATTGGGGAGGAAGAGTGGGGAATTGGGGAGGAAGAGTGGGGTGGGGCGGGAAGAGTGGGGTGGGGCGGGGAAGGAGGTGGGGTGGGGCGGGGAAGAGTGGGTGGGGCAGGGGAGAAGGAGTGGGGTGGGGCAGGGAAAGAGTGGGGTGGGGCGGGGAAGGAGTGAGATGGGGCGGGGAAGAGTGGGGTGGGGCAGGGGAAGAGTGGGGTGGGGCGGGGAAGAGAGAGTGGGGTGGGAGCGGGGAAGGAAGAGTGGGGTGGGGCAGGGGAAAGGAGTGGGGGTGGGGCGGGGAAGAGTGGGGTGGGGCGGGGAAGGTGGGTGGGGCAGGGAAGAGTGGGGTGGGGCGGGGAGAAGAGTGGGGTGGGGCGAGGAGGAAGGAGTGGGGTGGGGCAGGAAGAGTGGGGTGGGAGGGCAGGGAAGAGTGGGGAGGCAGGCAGGGAAGAGTGGAGAGAGGGGCGGCAGGGAGAAAGAGTGGAGAGGGGCGGGGTTAGAGTAGGGAGGAGCAAGGAAGGGGGGAGGGGTGGGGAAGCAGCTACAGTTTCCCTCCTCCCCCACCCACGCTCATTATTTCTTAACCTTAGGTGTGTCAAGTTAACTTGTTTAACCTTTCTCTCAACTTGAATCAAATCTAAGCTAACTTAATCTAAACCCAATTCTAGCTTAAGCCTAACCTACACCTCAACATCAGACCAAACATAATTCGTCAGTACTGTCTACTTTAAAACCTATCTTAACTTAACTGAACCTAACTGAACCTAACCTAACCTAACCTAACCTAACCTAACCTAACCTAACCAACCCAAAATCAACCAGATCAAACAGGGTGAAGGCCACATGCTGACATCGTGATACGCCGCTCCTCATGCCCACAAACACGTGGAATCTGCCTCTTAGTATCTTGTAATGAGCGAGTGTGTGTGTGTGTGTGTGTGTGTGTGTGTGTGTGTGTGTGTGTGTGTGGTGTGTGTGTGAGTGTGTGTGTGTGTGTGTGTGTGAGGTGTGTGTGTGTGCTTGACATTAGAATGTCGGCGTGTCTCTCAGGTAACTGTACTTGTTATTAAGGTGTGTTGGTGGAGGTGTTACCGAGATGGGGAAGGGAAGAGGAAGCTCTCTCTCTCTCTTTCTTTAAAGATTAGACGTTGCCTGAGAGAGAGAGAGAGAAATCAATCACCCCCTCCTCACAGCCAAACGTACCAGGAAGTAACTAACCATCCCCTCCCTCACCGCTCCCAAAAATCCAAATTACTAACTCAAAAAACAAATGAACGATGTGTTAGCCACCCCCCTCGATAATTCCCCTAGACTGTAATTAGACAGGAAGGAGAGCAGTCTGAACGCGGCCAAAAGAGGCGGTGTTTGAGGATCCGTAATTATCTGGCTATGACCCTCCACCCCGGACCAGAATGATCCGTAATGACGATGATTATGTTGCGTCGCGTCACGGTAAACAACGTACTGGGTAACGATATAACTTTATACCTCCCAGCGACGCTAACTATACCCTTCTGGAGCACGCATACCACAGACAGTATATACAGCATATATATATATATATATATATATATATATATATATTAAAAATACACACAGGCAGTCTTATGTATGCCGATTAACGTCTATGTTTGTCTACTTCTACATATATAGTAGAGAGAAGTGTACTCTCAAGACAATGCACGCGCGCGCACACACGCACACATACAGTATATACACGCACAATATCACGGATACGCAACACACACAACAGGACGTTCTCATATCATTATCTAATTCGGTAACTAAGGGTACTCTTGACCAGACCACAACCTCTCCGCTAAAACAACACAGGCTCGTTGAAAAACAATAATCAGACTATAGCATAAGGTAAACCTCTAAATATCTGGGTATTGTTTACAATTATCCTTTATATGTTAAGTTAATGCACAAATGTTAAATGCTATTACACACTATATACAATAGGTCCTAAATAAGATTCAATATCTGAATATTCATGGGTTATAACTCCACTATGAAAGGGTTATGAGGTGGTGGTGTGGGGGAGGCTGTGGCTAGCGTCTCTCACCACTTTTGACAACCCCTCCTACCCCACCAGGCCAAGGACACACCCCACCAGAGGCTAGGACACCCCCCAGGCCTAGAACACACCCCCACTAGGGCTAGAACACACCCCCAGGCCTATAACACACCCCACCAGGCCAAGGACACACCCCCCACCAAGGCTAGACCCACCAGGTCAAGGACACCCACCAGGCAAGGACACACCCACCAAGGCTAGACACCCCACCAGGCCTAGAACACACCCACCAGGCCTATAATATTACATATTTACATCCATTCAGGCCTAGGACACCCACCAGGCCTAGAACACATCCCCACTAGACACTTACCAGGCTTAGACACCCTCACCAGGCTTCACTCCCCACACCTTTATGGTCAACTCGCTGTGGGTGGCGGCAAACAGCTCAAAACTAACCCATAATAAAATTATTGGCCGGTTTAAAAAACCGAGCCTTAACACCCGTGAAACACCGCGTGAGGACCCACAAATATTCATATCTTAAATATTTCGTCTCAAACATTAACACAAAAATATTAATAAACATTACAGGTAGCTACATAATGTGTTAAACATGATAACGTAAATATTAATAATTTATATTTGATTTTTAATTTGGAAAATAATTAAAAAAAATCTGAATATGACGTCACTGCCTCAGGTGATTTACACGAAAAATAAACTAAAAAATAAATACAAAATTAAATGTATGAAAATATTTGCCAAGAGGATAAATTTCCACATTTTAATAATACATCACAAAATAAATCTTTCAAACTTGCTTCATAAAAAAAAAATATCAATATCAAAATTAATAAAAAAATATATACATAACTATCTACATCATATACATTACAATAACACACTGCTGAATATAAAGACCTTTGCTCTATACTTCCTATGGTCTTTCCTGTATCCAGTCTTTTCTTGCTTCGTGGGATCAAGACCTGCACTTGATACTAACCTCACACACCACTACATGAGGCACGGGCGAGTCTACTTCACTGTGTACAAACCATTGAGGAGAGAAAATAAATACAGAAAAAAGTGTGTTGGTGGCGAATGTCGTGAGAGAAAGCGGAGGAGGCAAGGATGACTTACCTCATAGGTACAGGTGGGGGAGGAGAGGAGGCAAGGAGTGGTGACTACCCTTATAGGCTGGTGGGGTGGAGGAGAGGAGGGAGGTGACTTACCCTTATAGGCACAGGTGTGTGGGGGTGAGGAGAGGAGGCCAAGAGTGGTGACTTACCCTTATATGGGTACAGGTGTGTGGGGGGTGAGGAGAGTGAGGCAAGGAGTGTTGACTTACCCTTTAGGTACTGGTGTGTGGGGGTGAGGAGAGGAGGCAAGGAGGGTACTTACTTCATAGTACAGGTGGGGGTGAGGAGAGGAGGCAGGATGACTTACCCAATAGTACAGGTGTGTGGGGAGGAGAGGAGGAAAGGATGATTACCCTCATATAGGTACGGGTGGGGGGGTGAGGAGAGTGAGGCAAGGAGTGGTGACTACCCTTGTATAGGTACAGGTGTGGGGGGTGAGAGGAGGCAAGGATGACTTACCCTCATATAGGTACAGGTGTGTGGGGGGGTGAGGAGAGGGAGGCAAGGAGGTGACTCTACCCTTATATAGGCACAGGTGTGTGGGGGTGAGGAGAGGAGGCAAGGAGTGGTGACTTACCCTTATATAGGTA